GCCACTTAGCTTACTATTAGATGGTCTGATTTATAATTTAACACTAATACTGAACATACTTAACTCAACCATGTAAAATAAAGGAAGAAGGCAGATGACAGATAAAATGGAAAATAAAAAGGATATGTAAGGGGTGTGCCCCCTTAGTTTTCTGCACAGTATCTTAAAATGGGCAGATGACAGATAAAATGGAAAAGAAAAAGGATATGTAAGGGGTGTGCCCACTTAGTTTTCTGCACAGTATCTTAAAATGCAGAACAATTAGCAGGAAAAAATGCACAGCATATGGTGCGGCATAATAAAATAAAAAGGCAGTCAATTGGTTAGTTCCACACCATGGAATTTGTTTAAATAGTAATGAAATCATTGCTAAAAAATCCATCATTATTAAAATATAAAAAAACTTGGCTCAGCCAATGGAAATTAGATTTGTAAGTTGGTCATTCCCATAATTAAATCTATGTCACAAATTTGCAAGAAAAATGGACACTACACCTAATGCATTTACTTGCTGCACAAGTCCTGTCAGGCTATATAAAGCATTATGCCTGCTAAAACTGAGTAGATAAGAATTCCATACATTTTTATTAACAGGGCATTTTGTGTAAGGGTGGGGGCAAGGGACATACGATTCCAGTTATAAATGAAACTGAAATATGAACAACCTCTGGCTTTGCTTTCAGAGCATATTGCCCTAGAATAAACGTGCACATATGTTTGTAGCCTAAGCACTGCAACTATTCCTGGTAAGCAACCACCTTGAAATACCACAGTGCTATCAAACTTTATTAAATCACTGTCATGGGGAAAAACACAAATCATTTATGTTCAACAATTACTCTAAACCCCAACTTTTTAAATGAAGGAAGGATATAATTATATTAACTTCTTAACTTAGAACAATTCTCTGTGGTATAATTCTAAAATATTCTCTTGGTTTGAAATTTATGTAAATTGAATTCATCTTTCATTACTTATTACAAGACTAGCTACATTAAAAAGTTTTCTGTAACAATTAGTTCTTTAACACACCATGTTTTTAATTAGGCCTATGATGTTATTAAGCTGGTTATAAATATGCACATATTTTTGCCTGCAAATCTGCAAATATTTATTTCCAAGCAGAGACTGAGAGCTGTTTTTAAAGCCTGACGTGTCCATTTACCCTCATCAGTAAATACAGTCAAATGCTAATATATTTTAATAGCAAGAAGAGACTTGTCCTCATCTAAGCAAACTCCCATCCATATTCCTCAGACCTGGTCCCCCTTCTCCAGTGGGGCAAGTGTAAAATGTTATTCTTAGTTCGGCCTTCTAGATCTTCTGGCCTCATATTTAAAAAGCACTTTAAAGGAGTGTCCTTAGTGGCAACAGAAGTATTACCCAATGACAAAACCAAAGCAACCCCATGAATCAGTCCCCATATCCAACACCCTTTCTTAGAACATTAGCCATTACAGTGGGCCATAAGAGTGAAGAAGGCACACCACCACTTGAGGCACCTGCTGGGCAGAAAAATATCTCCAGTAAAGCACAGACAGTTTACCTAAGTGCATTATGATAGGACAACGGACCAAGTGAAAAATTATTCCCCCTATAGCAGATACAGTTTGCTATGGATGCTTGGAGGAGTGAAATGGGGAGCAATGGCGGTTCCTCGCACTGCAGCTAAACCCCGCCGCATTTCACTCATCAGTAGCAGATTAACACAGGCCCCCCATGCCCTAGACAGAAAAATAGTCAAAAAATGCAAACCTTCATCTGTTTTGAGTTTGAGCTATGTTCACGAAAACAGTTATATTCAAACGCGTGGAAATATGCAAGGATGTTTCAAAATATCTAGCTTAATTGCATATATTGCAGCACTTTTTTCAACTGGCAAGCATTCATAATAAACCAGACCAATCTTCATATGCCTTCTTATTTGTCCGTGTATTTACTGTTAGCTTAAACTTTTATTAACATAATAGTAGGACCACACTTGAAATGAGCAATTAGAAAGATGCAGAACAATGCAAAGTGTGTCCTAAGTGGCCAGGCTATTTAATTTGCTCAATATATAAAATCATGGAAAATAACTACTCTTCGTTCTGTGTACTTGATGCTGTATTGTACTCAGCAGTGAAGCTCAATCATGTAAACATAAAAACAATACTTTGAGAAGCTTTAACTGTTTGCTTATTTTTATTTATTCTGGTACTGTCCCCAGTGATGTGGAACACACTTCTTGTCCATCAGTGAAATATGCCAGTCAAATGACACGTCACTGAGTGAATTAGCATCAGCGCTCTCATCATCTGGGCCACATTTTCCTTTCAAAAACCATGGCCCCATGATAGAAAATAATGATTCTGTGATAGACCTCATTAGAAAAAAAATCAATATATTGACACTAGTTCCCCCCCAAAACATCTAAATAATAATGGACTGTCACCTTATTAAAGAGACTATTAACATATACTTAAGCATCATTACATGATATTGATCGGAGATTATTCATGCACCAATTTCCTGGGGAGCAGGAGATACAGACAAGAAATAGAAAACTTGGGTGTTTTAATGAACTATGGGGCAGATAAAACTGAGCCACCGATCCCCTTTAATATATAATCAGCAGCAATGAAAATATTAAACAATGCTGCATTAAGCAGAATTCAGAAAAACAACAATACTTTGTATTACTTACCAAAAAGCTTCCAAACGCAGAGTTAAAAATAGCAGCAGCCTAAAGGAGGGGAAAAGACAGAAAGCCGCACGTTACACAGAATGCTTTTGCCCCTTCATATGCTGTTCAAGAGATCACCACCACATAAAAGAGCTGCCAGTGGCCTATAATCTAAGAAATGCTCCAGATTATGAATCTCTCACCCAAGGAGGCTATAAAAATGCAATACACAGCTCGACCTGTGTCAGCACATGCAGCACAAACTATAGGCACTGCTAGAGTGAATCCTGTGTTTTTACTTTATATAAAAAAAGTTTACACAAATAGTTCCAGTAGGGCTTATCCTTGCAAACATATAAAGGTCAAAAGGGAAAATCCTACCACATAAACAGTGCCATAATCTGTGAGCCAAAATTTAAAGAAAAATGTTTTGCTTACCTAAAACGTCCAAGCAATAACCATGAGAACTAAGTATTAAGGAAAAGTTACTAAAATTCCACGACGTCAATATTTTAAAATCTTGCAAAGCTTTCCTATTCATCAAGAAAGAAGAAGCCACTCTTGCGTGGCACCCAGTCTGATGATGCAGAACCATGAGAGAGGTGAGGGAGAACAAAGGGGGGGGGGAGAGACCTGCCATTTACATGAAGAGCAGAGGCAAATTAATCACCAAGGACGTCTCCCAGCCATGGAGCAATCACAAGTGGATGTTCGAGAGAGCTCAGCAAGTTTGAATCCAATCCAAAACATGAGCTAAGCTGTAGCGGAACCTGCCTTCTGCTCTACAAAGAGAGAGTGCAATAAGAGTGAATGGGTAATGAGATGCCTGGCTCCAGAGAGCTTAGCTTTCTTATTCAAGTTCATCATTAATTCAAAGCTCTGATAATTTCATTAGAGTCATCCTCCGCTAGCCTTATCAATAAAAGATAGCACCGGACCACAGCTTCTCAGTGGCCCAAATGCACAAACAAGCACAGGCTTGGAAGCCCCTTGCTTAGCCGTTCGCTTGCAAGGCAAGGACAACGGCATATGGTATTCCGTGTTGCGGAGGGAGCTTCTGAATAGATGCGGCTGAATAAAACATCATAGGTGACAGTTGTAAACTATGGCAACATATTTCAACACCTCTGTCTAATCAGCATCCTGCTTTTGAACTTAAAAAGGAGGCACCAGTCCAAAGGACTCTTCACAAAAGCAAGAAAATACACAAATATGAGTTAATCAGCCCTTCCAACCATGGTTTGAAAAACTTGAAACTAATACCCTTCCAAACAAGTACTCTGCATCAGAGCAGGCAGAAAGTCAACCCTGCTCGCACCATACACAGAACTGGGAGGTCTTGCAGTGTGCTGATGAGGCACTGGTGACCAATCGTGTTGCTGATTCAGGGAGGCCGTTCAACTCAATAGCTAAGGTTTATGAAGAGGTCAAATTACTGCTCTTACTTGCTCTGGTTTCAGCAAATCCAGGCTGGTGTATGATATAGCTGCCTGGATTCAAGGGGCAACTCCAAGAGGGAATGCCAAGGGAATGGCAAAATTCTAGGGGCCCGTGTATAGCAGGTTATCTGAATTCCCAGCTTCCATTTTTTAAAAAAAATCTCTACCCCTTCCATTGCAGAAATAAGCCTTTCGCTTTATATCCTAAAGAACAGAAGAAGATCACACAGAAGATCATAGGCATCTGAGGTATAATTGTCTCAAACTAAGTTTCCAAAGTATACGATTTCCACAAACAGGCAACCAGTCCAAATTCTTTAAGAGTAACCACTTCCAAAATGTCTGTCTGCTGGAGGCAATACCAGCAGAAAATTAAGGTTATGAAGACACTTATATAGTTATCACTGAGGAAGATCAACAAAACTATGTTATTAATATCCGGATCCTTTGTAAACCTACATAACTTCATTTATTCTACCAGGACCTATATTTGTATGATTCTCATGTTTGTACCTGGCTGTTGTGAACCTGGACCTGTATGACTTTACTTGTATGCTGTGTTATTATTTCATTATCTGTATTTGGCTATATTGTTTATATAACTACATAGTGGTATCTGTATATTTGTAATACATGTGTTGAATAGAGTTGTAGCATCTTTTGCACAGTTTTGCTCTGTATATATATTTCCCTTTATATCCACCATGGAAGGAGATAGAGACTTTTTTAAAATGAAAGCTGGGAATTCAGAAAACCTGGTACACATATTTGTTAAAGCCTTAAAATAATTGATATTCAAATGCCAATTAGAAACACTTAAAACCTCCTGTGCTGGTGGAAAGAAGCGGGGCCTGTGGGGATAATCTCAGGGAAAATAACTGCCATGTGGGTGGGGAAAATCTGGATTTTCTCCCCCACACCGAAGCCATCCAGGCTTCACGGTGACCTTTCCCAAAAACTTTGGAGCAAAACAGGTTTGGGAAAGGTCAGCGAAAAGCCAGCGAAACCCTGGGAGGTACACAAATGCACCACGATGCTGTAGGGAAGGAAGACAAACACCTGCTTCCCAATAGTATTGAAGCCAAGGAAGATAACCCATGTGGAAGGCATCAGAGGCTGGATACTTTGCAACAGTAAGGCTGAAGCAAACAGTTGCCTGTTCTGAGATCCTGCTGCTAAACCGATCAACCAAGCCAGCACTGGAGCAATGTAAACCCCCTCCCCCACCCCTATTTTTAATTTTTTGTCTCATTCCCTTTCATCCTTTCCCTGGCTAAGAAGTTAAAACAAACTTAGAACAGCAAACCTCTGAAAATATTATTTATGAACTGTCAAGTTAATATTTCCCAACAATCTATCAAAGTAGCAAAAGAGTGTTTTTTCCCCTCCCTCCATCCTCTACATGTATGGGGATCTGTATTCATCTGTATTAGCAGTTAGATGTGGCACAGTGAACACCTTTCTGAATTAAACAACATAGACAAACAATACTGTATCTTAAGTATGTAACTATAATTTACCTTTCTGAATTAAACAACACAAACAATACTGTATCTTAAGTATGTAACTATAATTTCTGTTTGAGGTTTTTAATAGATCTTGGTTTAGACTTTGTTGAAGAGCATATGGAGTCTGAGATAAGTAGTTAAAACTATCCGCCCACCCCCCATAATTAGAAGAGATTTAATTACATTTTAAACACTGTTCAAGCAACTGGTTTTTATAGCTGTTGGTCGGACATCTGACACTGGCCTTTTGTAAATGCAGCTTTGCTACTGTAGGCTTTTTGTATTCCACAACATAGATTTAATTCTTTTAAAAAGATACGTCAGTAAAATCAATCCCAGTCATCCTAGTACTTCTCATTCCACACCACTATAGAAGTAGCACCCTTGTTTTGCCGGGTTTTATGGTACATAAAGGTTCCAAGGTAAACAGAGATAGGTTTCTTACTGATTTACTTAAAGATTATTGTGACATGGTTTTTTGCGAACTTGAGCCCGCTTCAGATGTAAGAAATGCATCCTATATTGGCAAACGTGTGTGTGTAAATTACAAAATTAGACACATGGCTATAAAGAAAAATTTTGAGAGCACAAGCAGTGCAAAATGAGTAGATGATACAGTGGGAATCAGGAAGGAAACGGAAGCTTCTAGAGTAGATGATACAGTGGGAATAAGGAAGGAAACGGAAGCTTCTAGAAACTTTGATAGGAGAGGAGGGCATTTTTGGCAGGATCAGTTTGGCTGGAAAAAGTTGAGGAAAGCTGCCGGTGCTTCTTTTCCACAATTACAAAGATTTATATAGATAAGATTAGGTATATAAATATAGAGGCTTATAAACTAATAAATGATGTGAAGAAAATGAAGAGTGAGATTTTTTTTTAACCTGACTGCTGCAGTTCATCCATAGTGAACTTGATTTGACAGCAGGTTCAGGACATTCAAAAGGAAACACTACATCGCATGCTGCATAATTAACTTATGGAATAAACAACTATAAGAAATGACATCCACCAGATCAGAAAACTTTAAAAGGGGACTAGACAGATTCATGGTGGTCCATCTGTGGCCATTTGCTAGGACAGCTAAATAGAATCTCCATGTTCAGAGGCAGTATATGTCTGAATGCCAGTTGGCAGGGGCACTAGTGAGGGGGGCAGCTGTTGCCTTTATTCTCTGCGGGTTGAAAAATATTATTCAGTGATTCTACCACTCCTCCTACATCTTTAAGTAAACTACCAAATTATGAAAGTGTGCAAGAAGAAAGAAGACTGCTGTTTTCTAGTGCTGAGGTGAAGGCATTCTGTGCATGCCCAGAAATATTTTTCTGCCAGGATTCAACATGTGCTGAAAACAAACTCTTAGGCTAAGCCCTAGGGAAATATTGGCACAAGCTGAGTGAGTAGTTGTGCAGGTCAACAGTAGTGATTTTAGATGGGGTAGCCATATTACTCTGCTGTGGGAAAACCAAAAAAAGCATCTTCCGCCACCACAAAAAAAATACCACCTCCATCTGGGTACTCAATTAAAATGCCTCCTCTCTCATAGTACCTCAATTTTCCTTCCCCATTATGCATGTTGTGAGCTTGTGTTGTTTTGGGTGAACAGAAGTATTTTGAAGTATTTTTCAGTTGTGTACGTTTTGAGAGAGACTGATGTCTCACTTCATTTAGTGGGGCCTATTTCCAAATAACCTGTGCCTCATCAGCATTTAACTTATAGTGCACTTCAGTATCTGGGCTAGGCCCCTTGGCTCAGACGTCAACTATGCTGTATCATCTATGTACGTATAAAACAATAAGTTCCCCTGTATTTCCAGTCAGGCCACTGGCTCAGCTAGCTAAATAAGTACTATCTACTCAGACAAGCACAAACACTCTGCATGTTCTTAGGTGGAGGCCTTTCCCATCCTTGCTAGAGGAGACCTTTTAATTGGAGATGCAGGTGGCTGACAGAATACCTTTCGGCATATGAAGTACCTCTTCCCCCAAGGAGACTGACAGATGTGCAAACTCTAAATCATTTACAACGAGAAAGGTCCATTTTTCAGCTGAAGCGAAAAGCCCTGTGAGGTAGATTGGGCTGAGAGTGAGTAACTGGCCCAAGATCACCCAGCAA